AAAAAAAAAGATTTCAGAGAGAAAAAAAGTGGGTAGGGGGCCGGGGGGGGGGTCAGATTGCAAGTGCGTCAGGAGAATCATGCAGTTGATGCAGGGCTGAAAGGAGAATCATGCAGTTGATGCAGGGCTGAAAGGAGAATCATGCAGTTGATGCAGGGCTGAAAGGAGACATCCATGATGCTCATCGTCACTTCAACATGCGGCAGTTTATTTATTTATTTATTTTTTGTACGAACGATACGCACACAACAAGAATACGTCTAACTGAGCTCTTACAGCGTAAACGCCATCAACATTTTAACACAACCACGCGATTGAGACACTCTCAGCTTTAGCTCTTCCTAGTTTTAACACAACCACGCGATTGAGACACTCTCAGCTTTAGCTCTTCCTAGTTTTAACACAACCACGCGATTGAGACACTCTCAGCTTTAGCTCTTCCTAGTTTTAACACAACCACACGATTGAGACACTCTCAGCTTTAGCTCTTCATATTGATTGTGTTGAACTCGACATCATTATTTCATTAAATTGTTAAGACAGGGCGTTATCTCCGCATTGATTTCCCTGTGATTTCGATAGGTTTGATTCGTTTTATTTTATGGTGTTTTTGTTTCTTGTTTGTTTTGGTTTTCCTTGCTGCATTTTGGGAGAAGGACCTCACGTATACAAAAAATGATAAAAGAATTGAGAGACAAACTGAAGATGCATGCAGTGTTTCTTTTGAGGGCGATCTCTCCGGGGGCAAGTCAGTTGCCCATAGAATATTTCAATTCAAAATGGGTTTTTTAATCAATTTATACGTAGAATACAATGATAAATATGATAAGTGCAAAATAACTTCGCTGCGATTTAACCCCTTTATATGAATGTTGTAAACACGCCCAAATGGGTGTGTGACGAAGGGGAGACAATTCATTTTTAAAATTCATGCAATCAGAACATTTAAAAAAAAAAAAAAAAATGGAAAAGTTATAAAAAATTTTTTACTTGTAATTTTTTCACTGTACCGTTCGGGTTTTTTTGCTTTTGTATGTTTTTTTGGGTTTTTTTTGTGTTTTTTTTTTTTTTTTGGGGGGGGGGGGGGCTTGTACATTTTTTGGATCACACTGGCATGTATTTGTATGATTCAGGTAAAGTATGGTTTATTTATTACTGAAAAGTATTAACATTCCAATCTTGCCAACTATGATACCGGTGTTTCTCTCAGGTATCTCTTCCGGGACTAGTCCTTGTACATTTTAAAAAAAATAAAAATTGTACATTAATTTTTAATTTACTGTGTACACTCGATGGAAGATTTTTTTCCCCTAACGATTATGAAATATGCTATTACTTGTAGATCAGTCGGGGCGGGGGGAACTAGGGGCTATACATTTTTAAAAAAAGTACAACAAATTGTGATGTTTAGGATTTTTTTCCCAGATTTGTACACGACAGCAAGCGCTGCACTTTATAATGTTTAAAAACTCTTGCCCGGTGTCATCAGGCCTACACTCTTTCGCAGCAGTCGGTGGTATCAAGTGCCATGCCAGCGATTCATTCATTTGTACAATACCAGCATCCGCTTTCACTGTAATACTTTAATTATAAGAAACGAGTAAAACAAGAAAGTTTGCCTTTTCCTTTAAAGTTACGGTACTATTGATTACTTTGTTGGTTTTCTCCCAATGACAACTTAAAAAATTGATAAACTAGCTTTTTTTTTTTCTTTCTTTTTCTTCCAGTTTAAGTAAGTCTGGGGCTGATTGTTTTAAGATGGATTTTGATGAGAAAAATTATTTCGGTCAGCAAACGTTTTTTGTTAAAGAACACAGTGATAGGACTGAATCAGTACCAACATTTTGTTTCTTTGTAATTTCTATAGGTTTTAAAAAAAAAAAATATGAACTTTCAAATCGTTTCTTCCTAGCTGTAACCTATGTTTATTTTGAAACTCAATTTAAAGATGGTAGAGACCATCAGCCGTGTCCATGAGTTGCCAAGATGGTAGATGTATTATAATGTATAAGTCACGCACATGGGTTGCCAAGATGGTAGATGTATAAGCCATGTACGTGGGTTGCCAAGATGGTAGATGTATAAGTCATGTACGTGGGTTGCCAAGATGGTAGATGTATTATAATGTATAAGTCACGTACATGGGTTGCCAAGTTGGTAGATGTATAAGTCATGTACGTGGGTTGCCAAGATGGTAGATGTATAAGTCATGTACGTGGGTTGCCAAGATGGTAGATGTATAAGTCGTGTACATGGTTTGCCAAGATGATATAGACTGTAAGTTGTGTACAATGGTTGCTAAAGTGTTGGAGATATAAGTCATGTAGGCCTACATGGGTTGCTAAGATGGTAGAGACTAGAAGTCGTGTACATGGTTTGTCAAGATGGTAGAGACTATAAGTCGGGTACATGGGTTGTCAAGATGGTAGAGACTATAAGTCATGTACACTTGTCAAGATAGTAGAGACTATAAGTAGTATAAGTCATGTACACTGGTTGTCAAGATGGTAGAGATATAGGTGTGCATGGGTTGCCAAGATGGTAGAGATGTTAGTAATCTACATCAGTTGCAAAGATGTTAGAGACTGTAAGTTGTGTACTATGGTTGCTAAGATGGTAGAGATATAAGTTGTGTACATGGGTTGGTCAAGATGTTTAAATCGTGTAAATGGGTTGCCAAGATGGCAGGGACTATAAGTCATGTACACGGGTTGCCAAGATAGCAGGGATTTTAAGTCGTGTACATGGGTTGCCAAGATGGTAGAGACTATAAGTCGTGTACATGGGTTGCCATGATGGCAGGGACTATTTGTCATGTACATGGGTTGCCATGATGGTAGAGACTATAAGTCATGTACATGGGTTGCCAAGATGGCAGGGACTATATGTCGTGTACAGTATATTGTTTGCACCCGTTAGAAACTTTGTTTTAGAACAAGGTAAGATCAGATTATTTCACAGATCCAAATCAAAGCCGTACACAATCATTTCCCACATACAGATAAACATAATGCTTAAGATAATAAATTTGAAGCATTTCTCAAGCACAAAAACCAGCCATACTATATAGTTAAAGCATCACTACCACCATGAGGAAAATATTGACACCATATTCAGTGATTACTTGATTTTTATAATGGGGAACAAATGAATTCCTATATATATATATATATATATATATAAAATATATACACATCTTTTGGTCCTTAATTTGAGGGAAAGAATTTGCCCTGATTGACAGGATCATTGATCTATTATATGTGATTCGAATTATACTGATTTCTTTTAGCATGCTTATAATAAAAATGTTGAGTTTTATTGTATAATAAAATAATTATATAAATAAATATTCAACACAAATTTAAAAATAAATGTAATACAAAGTTTATTTTAAGTATAAAATTACAGACATTACCAATTGCAAAATTTCTTCTTCATTTACAGATTTAAAATATTGATACCGTACAAATAGCAAAACAGTGCTCACGATATCGAACTTCAAGAGTACCTGTATACAAATACAATCAAAACAAATGCACAAAGAGATTCTAGATTCAGGATCAAATTGAAAGTGTTAAGTATGACAAACACATAACAAGTCATAAAGCGTATTAATTTTCTAAATGTAATTTAAAGGAGCAACTAATTATTTGACGGTCTACAAATAATGGCAATGAAATAATTTATTGTGGCTGCTACAGATATTAATAAATTAATGCCACGCTGGACACTATTTGTTGAACAAAAAAGTCAGATGTTTTTAACAAAGTCAGATGCTTTTAACAAAGTCAGATGCTTTTATAACAATAAAAAAAAAAATTTTTAAAATAAAATAAGAGTCTTTTTCTCCCAAACTATTTTTAAGTGTAGTCTGGCTCGTAAATGAATTTCAGTTTCATACTGGACCATATGAAAACCCTGGTAAGTTATAGTGTCATGACATAGTGTGCCTTTTCTGCAGTTGCTGGGATGAAAATATGTTGCATTTTAATACTGTTTCCTTGTAGCAGATTCACTAAATATATTTGTTAGACCTGGGTCCCACTTGGTACTGTCTTTGGTACACCACCACTAGTATTTTAAACCTGCAATAGTTTTGTCTCTTAAAAAAAAAAATTACTTTACATTTATCGATTTAAAACATCAAAACCGGTTCTAGTATTGTCAAAAAATTAATTTGGAATTTGCTATATTTAATTTAATAGCGTCACATTTACATTGTATATGTAGTAATATAATACATAAAATGCAGCAAAAATGTAAGAACTAATCAAATAACAAATAACAGTTTCTTGCAATCAAATCAATAAAGAAACTTTTTATCTATAATTATATTTTTGAGTAAACTTATAGTTGATCCTTTAGACATCTGATATTAGTATTTTAGTTTCATAGCAATTAGATCAATTTGCTTGTAAATTCTAATAATAGCTTTAACTTTAAGTATTCACTTTCATTACTCTCAATTTTATATCTTGTACAACGCTACGTAATTAATTTTGCACAAGTCCGTAAATTTAAGTACATTGCCAATATCTTTAAGAGAATTGTAGCAGCATTTTAAGAACATCACCAGGTGACATAAGACTGTAGGATCATTGCATTTCTTTACAGCAATTGACATAAATTTAAAAGTCATTTTTATATGGAAATGTTCACCATGCTATTACTGGTACTATTATAATTGGTGCACCTTACAGCAATATTAGTTGTGAAGAGAGTCTTTAAGTTATTTTGATTTGCAATAGGGGATAAAAAAAAATTTATGGAACTTAGGACCCTAGAGGGCATGAGAACTTCCATGGATTAGTAACCCTGTTATATAGAAAAGTTGTAAAATTTAAAGTCACAGATGGACTGGTTATTAACCTCATATGTAACAATTTGACCACAGATATTTTACCAACTATGACAGAAAGGACTTTTGGAGTTTTGCCTAAAAAGAAAAAAAAAAAAAGAAAGGTAAGTACTGGTATTATAGTAATTTAAACAGGCTGTTGTTAAGCTTCAAAACATAAAGGAAGTGTAGACCACTCTTCAACAGTTGTACGGGCGACTTTTGTCTTAAACATCAACATGTCTTTGAGTGGATTAGGCAGCTGTGAATTCTGGATGCGGTCCTCTCTTTCGGGACTCTCGCCCATCATTGTGGAAACAGCTATGAAGGCAAGATTGGCCAATGGCCAGGGTTGACATGCAGCTCTTTGAAGCAGTGCGATCCTTTTTTTTTGATCAGGACTTAATTCTTCTTGTGAGGTGTCCATCACAGCATAATTTTTCAGCCTTATAAAGGACAAATCCTTATTAGAAATGTAACAGTTTGCAAGAACATATCTTAGCAAGTCATGGCCGCCATAGCATAGACATAATTCTACACAGGTATCTAGAATCATAGGAAAGTAGCTGTTAAAATACACCATATTGACAACACCATTACACACAAAAAGCCTTAGAAATATATTCCTCTCAAAATCCATAAAAAACCCATCAGATGGTTTCATTAGAATGTTCCGGTATGCAGCCTTTAGCACTGGATTCGCTCCCATATTTAAAAGATTACCGGCCATGAAAGTCATTCCATCAGTCAGCAGTACTTGAACCAAAACTGTTCTGCCATGGTAATCCTCTGCTTCAAGATCAGCTCCATATTTTACCAGTTTATCATATTCGTCTGAAGCCTCCTGAACCTCTTGGCAGTTGTACATTAGAGCTGTGCGGCCTGTATTATCTTTTAAGTTAACGTCAGCACCAGACTTTAACAGTGTGTCCCTGACATTTATTCCATCTATTTTTAGTTTGTACCTCCTACAGAATATGGCATGGGTGAAGTTGGTTGCATACATTAAGGCAGTCTTCCCCTTCTTGTTCTGTATATTTACATCTGCCTTTGCTCTGATGAGACTCAAAATAATGTCAGATTGTAAAACATGGTCTGCAATGATTAACGGTGTATTCCCATAGAAATCCTTCATGTTAACATTAGCACCATGAGCTAACAGTAACTTAAAGACATCAGTTTTACTTTTCTTCACAGCACAGTGCAAAGGAGTTTGGCCGTGAACATTCCTTAAATTGACATCTGCCCCGGCCTGCACAAACAACTCTGCAATATCTTTATTGGCTGCCAATGAAAGTCCAGTATTTCCCATATTTGTCGAAGAAAGGGGATCGGCCCCCGCCTGGATTAGGAGCTTCACCATCTCAGTACAACCGGACTTGGCAGCGATGAGCAGCGCATTTTCACCTCGTTTGTTTCGAATATTGACATCTGCCTCAGCTGCCAGCAAGGTTTTGGCAATATTATCAAAGTGTTGTTTCAAGGCCCTCATCAAGGCTGTGTTGCCATCATCAGACTGGATATTTGCAGAGGCTCCATGTTCTAACAGTAATTTGACATTCTTCCAGCGGCCATTAGTGGCTGCTTTGTGAAGAGGCGTTTCAGATCTGTTATTTAACATATCCAAGTTGAATATCTTCTTGTGGGTAAGTTTACATCTCTTGCTTCCCAGCTTGGTCATTTCCTTACCATTGCTGCCAACAATTTTTTCAAGAACAATTTGCATAATTTGTGATTTTTTACATTTTGCGGCATAATGTAACGCCAGGTCACCAAACTTATTTCTTAAGTTCACGACAGCACCACAGGCCATGAGGACTTCAACAATATCCAGAGAATTATTTCTAATCGCCAACATGGTCAGAGTGTTTAATTCCTCATCATGAGCATTTACATCTCCCCCGTATTCAAGTAATAGTTTCACACAGTCTTTATGACAACCATTGACGGCCAACACCATCGGGTTCGGAAAGTTTTGAGAATTGATGGAGCATCCAGCCTTTAGGAGAAGATGCAGAATCGTTTGGGAGTTTTCAGCAGCACTTACTACATTTGTGTGAAAGAGAAATCCCAAGCGTGTTGTACGCTTTTGATTCTGAATTTCTTGGATCACAAGCCTCACAGCACGGATCAACACACTGTCACCAAAGCTGTCTGTGGCGTCAACATCAGCACCGGCCCCTATGAGATCCTCAACCCACTTGACATCGAGCTGATCCACCGCCAGCATCAGGACAGTTGTCCTGTCTTCATTTGAAACATTGATGTCGGCTCCGTGCTGAATCAGCAGTTTGGCCATCTCAGTGCGGTGAAATTTTCTATACAATGCCACCCAGAGAAGACTTAGATCTAGTGACTGCATTAAACCTTGGTGAGTGTTAGATGAAACACTGCAACAGTGCCTTGCATGAACAGGAATATATCTTTCCCTGAGATGGCCGTGGCACGTCTGTTGCAAGCAAGTTGATTGGATGCCCACATTTTTCTTGTACACTTTGTTGACATCACCACCGCCATTAATCAGAATGTGTGCTAACATTAGATTATTATTGGTCACAGCTATTGTAAGTGGTGTATTCCCATATCTGTCTTCTAGGTTAATGTCTCCACCTGCTTTAATCAGATATTGGACAATGGCACAAGGGCCATATTCAGCACTTCTCTGTTTTTCCGTAGTTCCAGATTCAAGTCCTATATTTATGAAATCGGTACAATTCAGACAGAAAGAAGCAGGATCACTCTCCGCAGATGCTGATGAGACGTGCAGGGCCGTTTCACCATTATTATTCACAGCGCCAACACTTACTTTGGCGTTTACGAGAAGTTCAATAATGTCGATGTTGTTTCTTAGCGCTGCTTTGTGGAGAACTGTATCACCGTCTGCATTTGTGGCATTGACATCAGAAGAAACTCCAATGAGCAGCTTTACAATCTCAGTACTGCCTACATCCACTGCTCTGTGAAGCGCTGTCTCACCATTTCCATTAATGGCATTGGTATCCGCTTTGGCCTCAATGAGAAACTTAACCATTTCAGTTTTGCCATATTGCACAGCCTTGTGAAGCACTGTGTCACCTTCATGATGCTTAGCGCCAACATTACCCTTGGCTTCAATAAGCAGTCGGATGATTTCCAAATTTCTATTTTTTTCTGGTTCATGAGATTGCTCTGAATAAACAACACATGCCGCTTTGTGCAGTGCTGTTTCACCGTCTTTGTTTACAGCATTTATATTGGAATTGGCTTGAATAAGTAATTTAATTGATTCAATGTTATTACTTTGAGCACATTTATGAAGCACTGTGTCTAAGCTCGTAGAAGCCGCATTTACATTAACTCCATTGTCTATAAGAAGCTTGACTAAATCGGGTTGGTGTGTAGTTGAATCAAGAAGCAACGTTCTCTCTAGTGACAATCCACAATTCATCAACTTGATCAACAGTGACTGTCTGCCACTTTCAAATGCCACACATATTGCAGTTTTAATATGTTTTTCTGATTTATCACCTACAAAAAGTTTATTCTCACCTGCAATAAGGTCTGTGAAGAAACCTTTCGACACAACCAATTCTAATGCTTCAATTCCTTTATCACAGGAAAAATGTGCCCCGTGATGTACAAGTTCTTTTACAGAAAATGTGTCATCCTCCTGAATCGCCAGCGTCAGGGCTGTAACAACTTTGCGAGAAAACCTGGAAATATTTGGGTCAGCTCCCAGGACTAAGAGTAGTCTGAGAGTTTCAATGTCCCGCCTCTCTACGGACATCATCATTGCTGTCTTTCTATTGCTTATCTTATTATTTAATAAAAATTTAGTTCTTGCATATGTCTTTTGGACAATATCGTCAATTTTTCTATAATAAACTGCATCTTCATAATCAAAATCATGAGTCTTGCAGATGACGCGGTAATCATTCTCTTCATCATCCATATTTGACAGTGCTGGTGCTAATTTTAAAGGTTCTGAAAAGAGAAAGTAAAAACAGTTTTATCAATGGTTCCACAAGCTTCGTCACTTTTTATCCATGTCTACATATATATGTCCCACCATAGCTCATCCATTCGGATGTCCTTCAGTCAATCGATCAAGCCTTAAAATATATCTTACATTATGGTTTGGTAAAAATTGTATGTGATAAAACAGGCCAAAACAAAAAAATATTGGTGCCTTAAGCTTTATTAGGCCAGTTTCTAGTGTCTGGGGTAATTATTCCAAAAATAGCATCAACTTTTTATTTTAGACGTAAAATTTCAGTCTGCTCTTAGAAAAACCTTTTCAGTGAAATTAAGAATGTCTTACTTAACCCATGAACTTTGTTATGTTTAATTAAAAACCAATTATTGTGCTAAGTTTTTCTTCCATCAACTGACAAACTGTTGGGTTCTAGCAAACATCTTAATCAGGCCTGCATAACCTGCATTTGTAAGGCGGGCAGTAATATTTTATGACAAACTTTTGCGGGCCGAAATATAATAGAACTGGGAGGAAGCTATTAAGAAAATAATAATAAGGAATATTTTGTTACTTTGCAGGCTGCCAAGTGGGCCACAGCCTTATTTGTGCAGGCCTGATCTAAATGGTTTTATTTACACAATAAAAAAAGTCACAGCCACAGTAAGTGCTGTAACAAAATTTCATCGTTTTTTCCTAAAGATGCCTGAAATGGCTCTTGATTACTTTCCTTGTTAAGGATAAAATCTAGTAGAGGTATGTAAATACAATAAACACTTCTATAAATTTTAAGTCTACAAAGTAGATAATTATGTTGAACAAGAATAATAAATTGTAAAAAACATGTTCTTAAATATTAAAGTTAAAGCCAAAAAGAAGCAAAAGACCAAATTAAAAATCTGTAAATTGTAATGATTTTCATCTATAATTTATTGGTATCGTCATTAAAAGTTTTAAGAGCATTCTTACATCTGAAAAAGAAGAGTCTTGTAACCAATTTTCATGTCTGTGGCAAAGTTTTTTCTAGAAAAATTTATCTCATAAAAATGTATACCCACTTTGCCATGAATAGGCTATATTTTCATATTTTGAATGAAAATCTTAACCCATTTTTGTTTATGCCCCTGAACAGTTTCAGAACAGTAAAGGGGGTTGGGGGGTTTACATTAAATTTTAATGTGTAAAATGATATGAAATGAATGCATAATTTAGACGAGATTTTTTTTTTTAGCTAGGCCTATGGGAATCAATGAGTCTGAATCAATCAATGACAATTTAAGATTTTGTTGTGGAAGAAGATGTTTTCCATTTAAAACATATAGTCATATAGTAAAGGCTTGATATAAGCCTAGTCCTAAACATTAAAACCTTCAATAACCTTGCCTTCAGGTTTTTTTTCATTATCAAATTATTATCATCACATTAACTTTAACAAATTATAGTATTTATAGGCTATACATAAACTAATTTCTAAAAAATATAACTATAAGTAAGCCATGCCATAATATTTCACTTTCATAGTTTGTGAGATTTTAAAATGTATTACAACTCAATGAGTTTACAGTCTAAAGAATGGCTATACTTATATAAATTTTAGTTTAAATAATTTTATTTATCTCTTAAATAAAAGTTTAAAATAATTATTACTAATAATAATAATGCTAATACTAATAATAGTAACGATGCACGCACTCCCATTATTTAGGCCTACTAATATTATTAATTATTCTCCACGATGCCCATAATCTTAATTTAAATGATAAAATACCACATTCAATTGGTGAGCTAACCTTTTTTAAAATTAGATAATTAAAACAATACACGAGTTTAGTTAACCAGACCCAGAAGTTAGGCTCCCAGTTCTGCGTGTCAGAGCGATCAGCTGAATATGACCATTTCGCTATTTCGGAAAATTAAATGAAGTTATTTACCGCCTGTAACCAGGGCTGCCACTCACTTTTTTAAACTTTCCCAAGATTTGGTGAGCTAATTTCCCAAGAATTCCCAAGATCATAAAATATATAAGTTTTTTTTATTAAAGTGGGGTTTTCTATGTAATTAATGTTGTTGTGAGCGAGAGTTGTTGTGAATGTTGGGTAGGGGGAGTTGTGGATCGTGAGTGTTTTGTGAGTTGTTGGTCGAGAGGTCAGAGCGTGAAGTTAGTCCGTGGTGTTGCACGTTTGCGTAGGCGGAGTTGTTGTGTTGTTATATAGGGGATGTGTGTTGGCTGCAGAGCAGAGTTAGTAAGAGTGCGGATCAGTGAGAGACAGGGAGAGTGTTAGACAGTCAGAGGTAGTTAGAGAGTCCAGCCGAGACAGTAGTTAGAGAGTTAGTATTATCGCTGTTGAACGTCGTCACTGTGAATTGCTATTGGATCCTGTAAATAAAGAACTGTTGTATTTCCATGCTGGAGTTGTGATCTATATTTATAGATATTAAGACAGTGTTGTAAACCCCTAGACAACGTGGAGTCTGCTGACTGTGCAGTAAACGTAACTACTGCGCGATGTGTTGGAGTGTAAGGACGAAGATCCTAACATGTCAAGTATTGAGAATGTCGCAACTGGAGACAACGTAAGAAGGCCGCGACATTTGATGAAGGCCTCAGCTTATTAAATTAGGGTCGTAACATTTGAAGTTACGAAGTTACGAAGAAGATCGTAACAAATGTAATAATAGATTGAATTTAATGCCCCTGAAAAACATGGTACATTAATTGACATTCGGCTTGTGGATGACTTCGTTGCATTGCGTCACAGTTTTCTAATAATACTACTACATCTTAATCCATTATGGCAAAAAGTTAAGAATAAAATCAAATCTTAGTTTAGTTGTGAAAATTGTATGTATGTTTTGAATTTTTTTTAGGGTGACGTGACACTAAAGGGGGAGGTGTGTAAAGAATTTGTGACACTTTGTGACAGGGGGGAGGGTGTCTAAAAATGTATTTTTTTGCGTGACGTAATTTGCGAACGACTCCTTCTGCACCCCTTACGCTTTTATTACCGGATACATTTATTTGATTTAAGGCAATGAAAATCAACTCGGGATATGTTAAACAGTGGACCATAGTTGTGACAGTATTTTCTGACGATTATTATTGTGAGTAGTGAGTGAAGTTGGTGACCTGATTGGTCCGAATAGTGCGTTGCGTTTCCGGTTCCATTTTGACTACATGCTATTCGGATGTCATTTGTGGTAGTTTATTTTAGTTAAACTGAAGAAGTAAGTTTACAAACATATAGTCCATTCAATTATCTTTCATTTGATACCAAATGTTGTCTTACAAACCCTACAATAATTTTAACATATTTTGTTTAAAAACCCAAACGCTCACTTCTCGGACCCGGGTCCGAATAGCCCCATCCTCCAGTCATACCACATAACAACACAGGCCAATCAGGTCACAAACTCACAATAATAATCGTCAGTCAGTCAGTCATACTGTCACATTGTGGCCCATGCTAATCTCGAATACCTCAGAGACAACTTCTTTAAATGTACATTTTAATAACAATAATAAAACTACAAATAAAATGCCACAGTCCCCTGTTCACCACACACAGTTTAACACCCAGACATAGATAATAGATTAAATCATTCACAATGCTGTCTGTTTCAACTGATTGCATTTTCTATACTATACACCAAACAACCGGTGTTAAAAAAGCAACACCACATCATATCATCTATAACTGTCACTTAATTAGTAGGACCCTACCAAAAGCTCGGAGCTGCTCTGGAACTTACAAGGGTGATCTATAGTGGATTTTAACCTAAAAAAAAAACAATAATTAGGCCTATAACTCTGCTTCACGTTCACAAGCTCCTGGTTTAAAGTCTTTTTGAGTTTGAATCTAGCGCCTTCGATTGTCCCCTGTCTCAGCCGATTGGAGTATTGAGTATTGAGCTGAGTCATTTCTAAAATTAGATAACCTGTCAGCCTTAAACTTTGTTCTTCAAAGACTGTTTCTTAGCGCAGGGCTGCCATACCTTGGGAATTTTCCCAAGATCTTGGGAACTCACTACCCCATTCAAGACACAAACTAACTTTAAAAAAAAATCCCAATTTTTAAACAAAACTTAAATATATTTTCATGATCTTGGGAAATCTTGGGAAATATTTAGACATAATCTTGGGAATTTTAAAGAAATTGAATGGTAGGCCTGGCTTAGCGTCGTATAAATGGCGCGTCGTTAGTCAGTGTACGCAGCTGGTTTCTGAGCACTTGGTAAGTTATAACTCATTTTGATTAGGCCTTAATTATCTAAAAAGGTTAGCTTATCTATATTCAAAACCGAAACACTAAATAAAAAGATACAACTGAATGTTGTATTTGATAATTTAACTTAATAGTAAATTTTTGGCATCGCGGAGAGTATATAGTATATAATATAAATAAGTAACAGTGAACTAACAGTGAACAAGGCACAGGGCATTGCAAATATTTTATTAAAACTTATTTAAGTCTTAATTACTAAGACTTAAAAGTAACATCGTTTATTGGTGCCATTTTAAACCACTCATAACCGTTATTTATTATTTTTAAATAACAAATAGTTATTGTAACCATTTTTAAATCTTATTCTTATGAACTATTGAAAACAATATAATTTAGTCTATAATATAGTATATAGCAGCAAAATTAATATTTTTTAAAATTAATTTATTATAATTACCGGTATTATATGTAGTAGTCTTAGTAGTGCGTGCGTGGGTGATTGGTGCTTGCCGTGGTACCAAGGCTGCCACTGACAGTTACTAATAAACAAATGAAGAAATGCAGGTCTCGAGGACTATAGCTTTATTAATGCTCTACAGGAAAAAGTCACTGCGACCGACAGCTCCAAAGGAAAAGTCCTAAGAAAATATATAGACTAAGGCTATGAAGAAAAAGGACAATATCTGCAAATAAACAAATAGTACAGGTCAACAATGTCCTGACTAACATAGCTAACATATACACATGTTACATAACCACGTAATTACACGTGGCGACTTAACTGGAAAGCATGATAAATGATACGTACGGAGTATTGTTTTATACAAATGGCAAAGATAATTATTGTGTACTACCAATGTTTAAAATAAAATAAACCACGTGCAGTGTTTAATTTGAAACACATGCACAGTGTAAATGCTACACACAGAACCAGAGTGAGATGTGAGGGCTAACATAAACTTTAAAGATCTTTAAATTAAAATAAACCACATGCAGTGTTTAATTTGAAACACATGCACAGTGTAAATGCTACACACAGAACCAGATTGAGATGTGAGGGCTAACATAAACTTTAAAGATCTTTAAATTATTATCGTATGCCATCCAGGTAGGGTCTCTATGTAAGAAGCACACATAGCAGGACAGTAAATACAATGGTATAAAGTATGACCACCATTAGCTTGATGCTTGTATCTATCAATCGCTCTGTCTTGTTAAGATAAACAGCAGATTGCAGAATGACTAATTATATGGAATATGACCCTAACACAAGCAGTATTTCCTATGTGAGAATTTAGCACAGGGCAGGAGAGTATAGCTTGTTACACATATTCGACGGACACTCGCTGGTTGTATACTGTTGTATCAATAGCTTATATTATAAGCGCATTGCAGTATGTGTACCCATGTATGTTCACAAACCCTGGTCAATCGTATCTAATTTATTCATCCTATTAAAGAATTTATTTAACGGTTGTATGATAACCTTTAAAATAGCCTGAGCATAAGTCTACACGATTTAGGTTATTCTACACTATATCCTGGTTATAAGTCTGAACAGAAATCTTCCAATGCTAACACTCAACAAGTTCCTACTAACCACAAAGAAATAAAATGGCGTATTTGTCTCTACTTACAGAGCGTTCCAATGGGCCGCACTGAACAATGGCACACTGCAGGGATGCTGTCCGATCTTGAATGACCCCCTACTTAGTGTGCACCCCTTTATAAAGTCGTGCGCGGACATATGAGAGAGCCCGTCCGTCTGGTCTAAGTTTTGCCTACTGGCCAATTTCCTGGGGTAAAATGCTTAACTCTGAGGACTACACCCGAGTGATAATTAAAATCCCTGACCAACGCCCTAACGACTCATATGTGATCTGTGCAGTTTTGTCTCAGCTATCTAAGATGCTATTCTATATTTCTATGAGTTAAATGGTTTTTGAGATATTTTAACTAGAAGGGGTGAGGACCACTATGGATGAAGGTGAAAACCCCTTTAATGACTAAATGTTAAAATATCCTCCAAGGATGGAAACGTGTAAATATTGTTACGCACTGACTTATATTGAGAGAAATTAATCCCCTATTTTAATTTTAATTGGCTCGTTGTAAACAGTGCATAACAAAGGACGATACCATAGAGTCAACAATATTAAAGATACGACACCCAAAGCAGTTTCTAGTTACAAATTTATTTAAAGATTTATTAAGGTCTTAAGATAATTACAAAAGAAAAGAAAATATAATGACAATCTTCAACTTACAGTATGGTAGATCTTGTACCGGTACATAGTTAATACAGTTAGAATAATGGGCCAATGAATTATGATGAATGCGAAATGAACACATAAATATATGAGCACAAAGAATAAAACACGCCTCGTAAAGTTAATAAAATCTATCTGAATCTCCGTCCGTGCCTGTCAATCCCTTATATAGGTCGCGTAAGCCCTGCCTTCCAGAATGACTTATGACGTTTCTAGAACAATCACATTCATTCTACAAAATACTATTTGGAACAGATTAATTATTTTTAGTGGTTGGCGGCATAAACACGACAGATCAAACGACTAAGCCACACCCCTCTGTGAACACAGCGTCACATGCAGGGTCAATCAGAGGGCACGCACAAGAAAAATTATGTAAACAAGCTCTATATAACAATATGCTATGGAATAGTAAATAAAATCTCCTTTCTAACTAGATATAATTTATAACTTAATACCCTAGGGTTCCAGAGAAATAAATTATTGAATTTATAACTAAAGCGCACATCGTGGTATTTCATTATTTCCTACCTATGTGCGAAAGAAGCTGGCCGTACAGAGACAGTCCGGGTGGGGTGAAAAGGATACCTGAGGTCAACATTCCGATCCAGTGCTAGGCGAGGTCACACCGCGCGTTGGGCGCCAAACATGGTTTTTGTGCTAATGGCGGTTGTCTCAAAATAACGGATCTAATAGCGGATTTCCAAATAACGGGACATACACTGCCACATATAGTTAGTTATAGACATAGTAATGAAGTAATTATAGGCTATAGCAGAGTGTCTATTTATGTGGGGCCGTCCATTAATTACGTCAACACTTGATAGCAATTTTTTGATCCCACTTGTCAACAACTATNCCCCTCTTTAACAAAAATATAAGGAATTATATTATAAATTTATAATGCATTTTACTTTGAGCTGATCTATTTTAATGAAAATGCAATAGTAGGAAAAACATTTAATTACATATTTGGTACTTCAATTTTAATTCACCGCAAAAATATCATTACTGCTATTCTATGTCTCAGCAGTTATATCCGGTTTAATAAAACGAAACGGTGGCACACACAGACATATGTCATATGCTCGATTCTTATGTGTGGGTTCATTTTGCGTCTTTATGCGAAATGGTTTGAATGTATTCAACGCCATTTTAAACGATATTGTTTAAATGTGGCCATGCCATAACAGTAGCAGAGGACTTTTAAAGAAGTAAATATGTTTTAATGCAATGGAACATTTGTTTTATTGGAAGTGTGTTTTAATGGAAATAATAATAAGTGGTCTTATATAGCGCTGTATCCCCATGTAGGGCTGGGCTCACCGCGCTGTACATAAAAATATTATCAAGAGAGACATAATCATGACATTAAAATAAATTTATGAAATAAAGAACAGCAAAAAAATGTATATTCACCCACCCCATTACTTTTACAAGGCAAACCGTGGACGGCAGCCAACAAGATCGTTTAGCTGTCAAAGGAGGGGAATCATTCAGGGTAGTATAATTTAAAGAGATGTGTTTTTAGTGCAGTTTTGAAGATTGGTATATTGCGTATGTGTAATGGTAGTAATGGCAAAGAGTTCCATTGTTTGGGGGTGCAGCAAGAGAAAGATCGTTCAGCATACGTGAAATAATGAATAATGTACAATAATTTTTGCATTGAATTAAATGTTTTTATTGAAAAGTTTGTTTTTTTGGAAGTGTTATTAATAATAATAATTTTTGCAGTGAATTAAAATTGAAGTACCACATCTTTAGCTTGTTAATCACAAGTTAAGAAGTTTTTACACTTAAATTTTATAATGCAGAATCAATTGAAAGCTTGTTATTGTTAAAGACTAAATATCATTGTTTGTGGAGTAAATATGATTACTGTCAGGTTTGCTCTATCGTAACAATGGGCATCAGGGACAGCATTTGGGTAGAGCGGGGGGGGGGGGGTTACATTTGCCCCTACACCCTAATTTGCAGGTTTTATTTAAATTGCTATAAACAACTTAATTAAAATTGAAGTACCTCATCTTTAGCTTGTTAATTACAAGTTAAGAAGTTTTTACACTTAAATTTTATAAAGCAGAATCAATTGAAAGCTTGTTATTGTTAAAGACTAAGTATCATTGTTTGTGGAGTAAATATGATTACTGTCAGGTTTGCTCTATCGTAACAATGGGCATCAGGGACAGCATTTGGGTAGAGCGGGGGGGGGGGGTTACATTTGCCCCTACACCCTAATTTGCAGGTTTTATTTAAATTGCTATAAACAACTTAACAAGTCGACCAAGTTTTGGTTTTGCCACCTCCTAAAAAAATATGAAACGACGCCCCTGATGGGCATGGTCTATAGCAGCTGATTGATCATTTTCGTCTTGCGGCACTAATATACCAGACAAGTCAACATCATCCTCATCTAACCATTCTGAACTTAAAAATAGACGCATTGTTGGTGTGAGCAATAACTGCAAAATGGTCTCTCTTTCTACTGAAATCTACTCGCATTGGTCGAGTCCTTTTTTGTTGAGAAGCAGGCGGTAATTTCTTATGCTCGAGAGGGCATTGTCGGTTCTGTTGAACATGCTTTCTCAACATGTCTTGTAATGCAAAATAGAAGTTATAGATTTTGCCAATCCGTTCAAGCAGCGATTTATTATTGTTACTCACTTTACATTCACTTAATTCTCAAAATATCATATTCCTACTTTAACAATATCATTTATAATATTGACTGCACATGACACTTGAACCTTGTCCTTGTTCCATACCTGCAACAGAATCTACAGTTGGAGAGAGGCCAACTTTTGACTTCTTGCACTAACAAAGTGTGCTAACATTCTGACCAGCCATCTGCAGTGCACAGACACACATTAAATACATCTTATACTGTTTAAAGCCTAAAAATTATATTACTATTTACACTCATTAATTTTTTTAAAAATAATTTAATAACCAATCCATTTTTAAGATTAAAATTTTAACAGAGACGACATAATTGTCGACATCAACTAATCTAACCCCCACCCCCTCCCTCCACCTTGTCAACAAATGTCCAAACTTACTTTGTTGACATAATTAATGGACGCCCCCTTGTATAGTAGAATATAGTATAGTTAATAGTTTTGTACAACAAAATAATTTATTTTTACATTTATATAAATATAATAATCTGTACAAAAATAGCACCATAGTTCCCATAGTTAAGTATAGTATTTTTAGTATGTATAGCCCATGTACAATCCAAAACAAATGTAGACTTTTTCAAGTAAAGCCTATTAAATTTAATTATCTTGCTCGTAGTCCATGCGGCACACCACATTCAGTTTATTTTATTTAAGTTTTAGAAAATGTACTCTTGTGCATGTAATTAATGACATACATACAATTATACATGATGAATAATTATTGAAATAACTAGGTCCCATGCCATTAGACTAGAGTTACCATGAGAATAATAAGTGCAGAGACTGATGCAATCTTTCACTCCATCACAACATAAACTAACATGTCATTTCCCCTTACAAAACTGCGTCACAAAAATCTCAACATAATAGTTACAGCTACACATATAATCTCTACACTAAACATCTTTTCCGTAGCTAACTTTTAGGCCCCTAAATCTAGTTCACAACATAGGTCATTGTACAGCTGTGAGCTGTGTTAGCAGAGGACTAGTCATATATCATACAATGTCAGGAATATATCATACAATGTCAGGAATATATCATACAATGTCAGGAAGATGTGTAGCAATAATGAATATGGAATTGCTGACAGAGTGAAAGTCTGATTTCTTGTAGACAAGTGAGCGAAAATAGACAAAAACTGTTCTATTTTGACTTAATCATAAGCAAAAATTGATCATGTAGCAACTTTGTTGTCGAAACCAAAGTTCATTTAGTCTCTAAGACAAACCAAATTTCAAAAGAGATCTCAGAGCATAAAGAAATTTTGTCAATTTGACGTCTTACATAAAAAGTTGATGCTATTTTTAGATGGAGTACTCCCAATAGCATGACAATGTTCCTAAAAATCTGAAGGCACCAATATTATTTCTGTTGGCCTGTGTTGTCATATACATATTTACCATACCATTCAATAAGATACATTTTAAGACTGCTCACTTGATCAATTGACGGGACTTCCAGGTGGATGGGCTATGGTTGGACATATGGATGAAATATGCTAACACTTGTGAAACCAATAATTAAAATGATTTTTTTTTTTTTTTCAGAATCTATAAAAAACGAACATCAGCTTTGTCAAATATGGATGAGGAAGAGCATGATTGCCTCAAGGTTGATGGTTCTGATTATGAAAGTGAAATTTATTATAAACACATTTACATTGTTACTGTCCAAAAAGCATGTGTAGGAATTTCAAGGTTATTAAATAGCAAGATCATCAATGGAAAGACAGCACTAATAATTTCTATAGAGAGACAGGACATTGAAACTCTTAGACTTTTCTTAGCCCTGGGAGCTGACCCGAATATGTTAATGTTTCCTTGCAATGTCTCGACAGCCCTGACGCTGGCGATTCAGAAGAATGACACATCTTCTGTAAAAGAACTTGTACGTCACGGGGCACATTTTTCCGGTGAGAAAGGAATTGAAGCATTAGAATGGGTTGTGTCGAAATGTTTGTTCACAGACCTTATCGAAGGCGAGAATAAAATTTTTGTAGGTGATAATTCAGAAAAGCATATTAAAACTGCAATAGGTGTGGCATTTGAAAGTGGCAGACAGTCGCTGTTGATCAAGTTGATGAATTGTGGATTGTCACTAGAGAGAACATTGCTCCTTGATTCAACTCTACACCAACCCGATTTAGTCAAGCTTCTTATAGACTATGGAGTGAATGTAAATGCTGCTTCTACGAGCTTGAACACAGTGCTTCATAAATGTGCTCAAAGTAATAATATTGAATCAATTAAGTTACTTATTCAAGCCAATTCCAACATAAATGCTGTAAACAGAGATGGTGAAACAGCACTGCACAGAGCAGCATGTGTTGTTTATTCAGAGCAATCTCATGAACCAGAAGTTGAAAAAATTGAAAAAAGTAGAAATTTGGAAATTATCCGACTGCTTATTGAAGCCAAGGGTAATGTTGACGCTAAGGATCATGAAGGTGACACAGTGCTTCACAAGGCTGTGCAATATGGCAAAACTGAAATGGTTAAGTTTCTCATTGAGGCCAAAGCGGATACCAATGCCATTAATGGAAATGGCGAGACAGCGCTTTACAGAGCAGTGGATGTAGGCAGTACTGAGATTGTAAAGCTACTCATTGGAGTTTCTTCTGATGTCAATGCCACAAATGAAGACGGTGATACAGTTCTCCACAAAGCAGCGCTAAGAAACAACATAGACATTATTGAACTTCTAGTAAAAGCCAAAGTAAATATTGGTGCTGTGAATAATAATGGTGAAACGGCCCTGCACGTCTCATCAGCATCTGCGGAGAGTGATCCTGCTTCTTTCTGTCTGAATTGTACCGATTTCATAAATATAGGACTTGAATCTGGAACTACGGAAAAACAGAGAAGTGCTGAATATGGCCCTTGTGCCATTGTCCAATATCTGATTAAAGCAGGTGGAGACATTAACCTAGAAGACAGATATGGGAATACACCACTTACAATAGCTGTGACCAATAATAATCTAATGTTAGCACACATTCTGATTAATGGCGGTGGTGATGTCAACAAACTGTATAGCATCCCATCAACTTGCGTACAACAGACGTCCCACTGCCATCTCAGGGAAAGGTATATGCAGACACCAGATCAAAGTCTTCTCTGGGTGGCATTGTATAGAAAATTTCACAGCACTGAGATGGCAAAACTGCTGATTCAGCACGGAGCCAACATCAACGTTTCAAATGTAGACAGGACAACTGTCCTGATGCTGGCGGTGGATCAGCTCGATGTCAAGTGGGTTGAGGATCTCATAGGGGCCGGTGCTGATGTTAATGCCACAGACAACTTTGGCGACAGTGTGTTGATCCGTGCTGTGAGACTTGTGATCCAAGAAATTCAGAATCAAAAGCATACAAGTACTATTGAAAGATCCAAATCCCTACTGCACCTTCTTCTAAAGGCTGGATGCTCCATTAATTCTCAAAACTTTCCGAACCCAATGGTGTTGGCCGTCAATGGTTGTCATAAAGACTGTGTGAAACTATTACTTGAATACGGAGGAGATGTAAATGCTCATGATGAGGATTTGAACACTCTAACTATGTTGGCCATTAGAAATAATTCTTTGGATATTGTTGAAGTCCTCATTGCCTCTGGTGCTGTCGTGAACCCAAGAAATAAGTTTGGTGACCTGGCGTTACATTATGCAGCAAAATGTAAAAATTCACAAATTATGCAAATTGTTCTTGAAAAATTTGTTGACAGCAATGGTAAGGAAATGACCAAGCTGGGAAGCAAGAGACGTAAATGTACTCATGAGAAGATTTTCAACTTGGATATGTTAAATAACAGATCTGAAACGCCTCTTTACAAAGCAGCAGCTTATGGCCGCTGGAAGAATGTCAAATTACTGTTAGAACATGGAGCCTCTACAAATATCCACTCTGATAATGGCAACACAGCCTTGATGAGGGCCTTGAAACATGGCTTTGAAAATGTTGCCAAAACCTTGCTGGCAGCTGAGGCAGATGTCAATATTCGAAACAAACGAGGTGAAAATGCGCTGCTCATCGCTGCCAAGTCCGGTTGTACTGAGATGGTGAAGCTCCTAATCCAGGCGAGGGCCGATCCCCTTTCTTCAACAAATATGGGAAATACTGGACTTTCATTGGCAGCCAATAAAGATATTGCAGAGTTGTTTGTGCAGGCCGGGGCAGATGTCAATTTAAGGAACGTTCACGGCCAAACTCCTTTGCACTGTGCTGTGAAAAAAAGTAAAACTGATGTCTTTAAGTTACTGTTAGCTCATGGTGCTAATGTTAACATGAAGGATTTCTATGGGAATACACCGTTAATCATTGCAGACCATGTTTTACAATCTGACATTATTTTGAGTCTCATCAGAGCAAAGGCAGATGTAAATATACAGAACAAGAAGGGGAAGACTGCCTTAATGTATGCAACCAACTTCACGGATGCCATATTCTGTAGAAGGTACCACCTAAATATAGATGGAATAAATGTCAGGGACACACTGTTAAAGTCTGGTGCTGACGTTAACTTAAAAGATAATACAGGCCGCTCAGCTCTCATGTACAACTGGCAAGAAGAAGAGGAGTGTCATGGCGATTACAATAAACTGTTAGAATATGGAGCTGATCTTGAAGCAGAGGATTATCATGGCAGAACAGTTTTGGTTCAAGTACTGCTGACTGATGGAATGGCGTTCAAGGCAGCTATTCTTTTAAATATGGGAGCGAATCCAGTGCTGAAGGCTGAATACCGGCACATTCTAATGAAACCATCTGTTTGTTGCTATATGAGTGATGTGAGGAATGTATTTCTAAGGCTTTTGGTGTGTAATGGTGTTGTCAATATGGTGTTTTTTAACAGCTACTTTCCTATTCTCATAGATAGCTGTGTAGAATTATGTTTATGGTATGGTGGCTATGCCTTGCTAAGATATATTCTTGCCAACTGTTACATTTCTAATAAGGATTTGTCCTACATAATGCTGAGACACAATGGTGCTGCCATGTACGCCTCAGCAGAAGAATTAAGTCCGGATCATAAAAAAGCAAATGCACTGCTTCAAAGAGCTGCATGTCAACCCTGGCCATTGGTCAAGCTTGCTTTCATAGCTGTTTCCACGATGATGGGCGAGAGTCCTGAAAGAGAAGACCACATCAGGAATTCTCAGCTGCCTAATCCTCTCAAAGACATGTTAATGTTTGAGACAAATGTCGCCCGCACAACTGTTGAAGAATGGTCTGTACTTCCTGTATGTTTTGAAGCATAACAGCCTGTAAAATTTCTTTATTATGTACCTTTAGAGGTTATTGCAAATGTCCCAGGAGTCATAGTTGTTTCGATGTCGGTCACATATGTGTTGTAAAGGAGTCATTAATCCATTGCACTTTCATGCCCTCTAGGGATTTAAGTTTTTTTGTTTATCCTATTGCAAATGAATAAACGTAAATTTAAATTAAAAAGTCTCTTGAAAACTACTATTGCGGTACAATTAAAATATAATAGCCTTGAATATACCTACATATAAAAATTTCATGTTGCCAGTAGAAATTTGAAATTTGTCAATTGCTGTTTGACATGCAATGATCATTCTTATGTCATCTGGTGATGTTCAAAATGCTATTTTATCTACAATTCTCTTGAGGATATTTGAAATGTCACTACGGGCTTACGTAGAATTTATAACATTCTACATTATTTAAATTTAAACAGAATACTTAAAGTAGTATTAGTATAGAATTTACAATCATAGCGATATAGTTGCTATGAAACTAAGATACTATCAGTCAGATGTCTAAATGATCAAATATAAATATAATAAATAAAATAATTTTATTTGATAGCAAAATACTACCTATACAATGTCATTATGATGCTATTATATTAAATTATTCAATCTAGCGAATTAAAAATAAATAATACACTATCAGTGCAGTACCATTTATTATAAATAGGTACCGGGTAACATATTTTAAAGTAAATTTTTTTTCCACACAACTACCAGATATCTTTAATGTACTAGTGGTATACTAAAGGCAGTGCCAGGTGTGCTCTAGGGTTAACAAACAGCAAATCTGCCGCAAGGAAACTGTTTTAGTCTTTACGTTCGATTAGATTTTTCATCCCAGCAGTTGCAGAAAAGGCACACTATGTCACACATGACACAGAAATAAACTAGGGTAGGTTATGAAAATGAAATCTCATTTACAAATGAGAAATAAAAAAAGTTTAGGAGAGGACTCTTTTTCTCATAAAAGCCTCTGCCTGTTTGTTTGACAAATAGTGCCCAGTGTAGCTTTAATTTGTTTATATCCATGCAGCCACAATAACATTTACCTGAAAAACCTGATAATGTATTTTTATTTGTAGACATAAAAAAATTAGTTGCTCCTGTAAATTAATTTTTTGCAAAATAATTGACTGTTTAGTGTCCTGAATCTTAAATCTCTTTGTGCAATTGTGTTGATTGTATAATTTTATAAAGGTGCTTTTGAAGATAAATATAATATTGTGAGCACTGTTTTGATGTTTGTACAGAACTGTAAAAAAGGATATTGAAATTGTTAATGTCAAGAAAAATAAACTTTGTATTACCTGTAACTTGTAACTGTAAATTTATTTTTAAATTTGTGTTGAATTTAATATAATTATACAATAAATTCAACTTTTTCTTATTACCGATGTAACAACCATGTTTAGAAGAATCAGTACCGGTATAGTATAATTAATTGTGACGACGTATAATTGATCAGGTCAATAAGGGCAAAATTTTTTCCCTCAAAGTAAAGATCGATAGAAATTTATTTGTTCCCCAGTCTGTAAGAATTTACCATCTTGCCTCTCAGGTTGTTAAATGTGTTGCTATATTTTATCGTGTTTTCAATATGAACTTCCAAATAGTTTCCTCCTAGTCGTACTTTGTACTGGTGTGTTTTATTTTTAAATTCAACTGAAAATGGTAGAAGACTAACTGTAACTTATAAGTTACAAGTCATGTATATTGTTTGTGCCTGTTATAGATTTGTTTTGGAACAAGGTAAAGATGGTTCCCTGTTGACGACTCTGATCTTAAACTTAAACAAAAACTTTCACTGACCGAAATAATTCTCACCAAATCCATATGAGTTTTTTAGGTCAAAATATACGATGTCATGAAACACGCACACTGACAACATCAACATAAACAGCGCACCTTTGAGAGAGTGGCTACTTTCAAATATCTGGAAGCTGTTTATTGAAATATGCTCATTTTAATTTTAACTACGGTACTGGTATCTTGAGACCTAGAAATCTTTTTAACTTTAAATCTTTTACCTCCACTTTTGTAATTTAATTTTAACTGATCTAAAAACTAACACAAGGTGCTAATGTACAGAGTGGGTACCTGCACTTCACTGTAATAGTGCTGAATTAAGTCATAGTTTGATCAGGTTAAGTTGATAAGGTGTTGTTTTTTTGTGGAGATTTTTCAACCTATGGAAAAATGGGGTGACTTTGCCCTTTTAAAGTGAAAGACAGCACAATGCATGAAATCACAATGCATCTAGAAATCATAAAAACAAGCAAATAATAAGTCACTTTCTTTTCTGTTTGATCATATTTTAATGTAATGAAAGGTTGGAAGAAAAAAGTAACACCAGTTCACATAAAAAAATTATTCTTGGTCATCTATCCTTTTGAGGCAAACCTTCATCATAGGTTTTCGCATTTACTCCACTCCATCTAATGAAAGCTTTAATTTGTGAATTTGTCACAGTAAACAGTAATTATAATGTCTTTCCTATTACCGGTATCTCAGCTTATATCTTTGGCATATAACATCCTCATCTCGTACAAAATCCATTCACCAAGTCATCTTGAAGATTATTATCCTGGAATCGTTTCACAATTTAGCCGTCATCAAAAGATTAGTCAAAAACAAAAAAATTAGGCCAAAATGTAAATAGTTTCTAGTTGAGGCATTCCAAAATCTGATAATGTCTTTAGGTGCTTTAATAATGAAACTTTTTATCACTGAAATTTATATACATTAAATGCATAGGAAAATAAATTATAATACCTTAAAATGAAAGTTAAAGTTTAAATTCAACTAAATCAGCAAAATATCGATGTCCTGAGTCTACCAAGTCTACGAGCTCAAACAGTCAAATATTATTGTAAGGAACGCGAAACAAAATCATAAAGCAACATGTCTGCCTTGATAGAAAGTAAAAAAAAAATTAGGGGAAAGAATTCTAGACAATCATGAAAAACAACTTTTTTACTTACTTATGCCGTTCTACCCCGTCTGGGACATATGCCGTCTACAAGAACTTTCCACTCATCACGGTCCTGTGCTTTCCTTTCCAGTTGCTTCCAGGTGTATCCCATATTTTGAGTGTCAGCCTCTAGCTCGCGTCTCCATGTATTCTTATAAATCAATATAAATGAAATGTCAATACTCTGTTGGGCTGAGACTTAGTCTCTGAGAGCCCTGGCTACTAATTTGGCGGCGAGCCTCATCTGCTGGGCATCCCCGTAAATCATATCTTCAAGGCAGGCCTCCGGGTCTCGCCCGTTTGCCCCCGTCCCCCCACTAGGACACGTGATGACCAAATGAGCCACTGTTTCTTCTGCCTCGCCACAGAATCGGCAGCTTGGTTCCCTTCGATCATCTAATCGGTGGAGATAGCTGCGTGTCGCGCAGTGTCCAGTCCTCATTTGGGTGATGAGGCTCTGTTCTCCTCTCTTGAGTCCCCACCATGGGTCGGTCTTGCTCGGTCGCGGTCTTCTCCGGTGCAGCTGTCGTCCGGTTTCTCCTGCGTCCCACCTGCCGTACCACTTGTTCCGAAAGTGGTCTTTCAGCCATGTCGTGACCCCCAGCTGGGTCATTGGCTTGTTTGGCTGGGGTTGGGACGCGCCTTCTTTGGCTAGGAAGTCCGCCTTGTCCTGCTGCGCCATCTCAACGTGCGAAGTGATATACTGCAGAGCTACTTTTCCGCCTTTTGCCTGGATGCTGCCTACTGTCTCCAGAATGGTGCCTATCATTATGGTTTCCTTCGAGCCCCTTCCCACGTGTTCGAGAGATGACCGTGAGTCGGAGAAAACCACGACGTCTGGGAAGCGTTTTCGTTTTGACAGGCGTTGGTGGACTCTTTTCAGAGCAACCAGTATTGCCTCGATCTCCGCATCTAGGCTTGTTCTGTTTCCCCCGCTTGGGCCGGAAAGTTCCTCGGGTGGAGCTATCTCTGCGGGATACTGGATAAGGGCACCGTAGCCACTGCGACCTTCACTCGCGAAGCATGAGCCGTCTGTAAAGACTTTAACCTGACTGTCCTGGTAGGCGTTAATCGTACTAAGCACTGCCTTGGATAGTTCTGCCGGAGGGCTGGCTTTGTTGGCTTTGGTGTTGGTCAAGGTGAGACGTATATCAGGTCGGGTTAGGCTTTCGTGAGGTCCCCGGGCTGGGATGACCTTCACTTTCTCTCTGTTTCCGGGTAAGGCCAAGCCTTCCTCAAGGCAGTGGACCGTGTCCATGAAGGACGGTCTCTTTAGTCTGGTCTTCTTTACCCATTCATTCTGTAGTTAGAAACAGGGTTCGTTTCTGTCCATGCGACGATACCGTTCCACTGTCGTTAGGACTGCCTTTTCCCGTCTGATTTCGAGTGGTTCGACGTCTGCCAAGATTTCCACCGAGGCCGTGGGTGTCGTACGCATCGCCCGCAAACAAACCTGAGAGCTCGGTTTTGGATGCGGTCCAGTTCCTCTAGAGCCGTGCGGCTCGCGACGGTTTGAACTGGTAGGCTGTAATCCATGGCTCCCCTCACCCCACTGAGATAGAGCGATCTCAGCAGTCTTGCGTCCGCGCCCCAGTCTGTGCATGCCAACTTCTTCACCAGACCTAGCTTCCGAGTGGTTTTTGCGCACAGTTCGCGTACGTGGTTATGAAGCTGGAGTTTCTGGTCCAACTTCACTCCCAAGTAAACTGGAGTCCGATCCCATTGCAACTATTTCCCATTGATGGTTAATTTCGTTTCTACCTTCAGTGCGTTTCTTCCGTTGGTGAATTTGGAATACACCGTATTGACGACCATTTTCCACAGCCTCGTGTAGGCTTCTATTCTGTCGAGGTCGCCTTGCAGCCGGTTCTGCAGATCTTTGACATTCCTCCCCGAGCTCCAGATGGCCAAATCGTCTGCAAACATTGCGTTTTCGGATTCTAATTCCTCTTGCAAGTCATATACATAAGCTAGGAATAGGGTGCAACTGTGGGCGGACCCCTGCGGGAGTCCATCCTCAAGGACTAATTGGTCTGATATACTATCGCCAACCCGTGTGGCGATAGTTCTGTCCTTTAGGACACTTTCCACCCAAGCGTACATGTTTCCTGTGATTCCAAGCTTTTAAATTTGTACATGAGGCCCGTGCGCCATACTCGGTCATATGCTTGCTTGAGGTAAAAGAAAACTGCTACCGAGTGATTCTTTTTCTGGAGCTCGTTTGTCATTGATTGGACAAGACGGATCACCTGATCCATGGGTCGTCGACCCTTTCGGAAGCTACCTTGCGTCGGTGGTAGGCACTTGTTTTTTCTCAAGAAACCAGTAGAGTCATCCATTTACCATTCGTTCAGCTACCTTTCCCACACAGGATGTTAGTGAGATTGGCCGGTAGCTGCTTGGTAGATGGCCTGGTTTACCTTCTTTGGGAATTGGGATGACTGTGGCTTTTTTCCACTTTTTGGACAGGGTGCCCGTGGCCCAGGTCTTATTAATGAGAGCCAGCAAAATCTCTCTCCCCTGTTTTCCTAGGTGGGTCAACATCTTGTTATGTACCCTGTCAGGTCCTGGTGCTTTGGCTGGTCTACACTTGAATAGTGCGGTTCGCAATTCTTCCATTGTGAAGGGAGTTGTGAAAAGGTCTGGTTGGGGCCCAATGCGTTGGGTTCGAGCTCCCCTTTTCCTTAGACGGCGGATGTTGCGGTGCTCTTCCGTCTCTCTGGTCTTTTTGTTCACATTTAGTTCTTTTGCCCTCTTTGCGTCGCTCGCCTCGACGCCATTCGCGGTTTTTATTGGTTGTGGGTTTTTGGCCTTCCCCAAACCAGATAGATTTCCAAGCAGGCTCCACACTTTTCTGCCGTCTGGGAGGTCGAGCTTTTCACACGCGCTTACCCATTTTGACTTTTTAGCTTTTTGGACAGCCGCCCGAACTTCAGCCGTAAGTCGGTTGTAGCCTGCGCGAGCTGCAGGCGTCTTCTTTCTTGCGGCTTGTTTTCGGGCTTTTGCTCTTCGCTTCACGAGATCTTTCAGTTCCCTGTTCCAGTAGGGTCTGAACTTTTGCTTCCTATTCGTCCTTACTTTCCCTGCTTCATACATGGTTCTGACGTTTCATGTGCCTATGTTTGTTTCCTTATAAAGGATTTGAGGCTTCCAGTATAGCCTGAGTTTGGCCACAAGGCTTCATAGCTCTTCTTGAAGAAGAAGAGTCCTCTCTTCTCAGGGCTGAAATT